AATGATTTAAGTTAACTTAAAATAGTACACAGTCACCAGCCTTAAAGAGGACGAATTATGCAAAATTTACATTTATAAAAATTAAACAACAGTATGTTTAATAACAACTGTATAACAAATGTAACAACGGTCTGAATATAACCAGCTTCTAATGGTAAAAACGTATTAATTAAATATTTTATAATCACACTTGATAAAAACAGTCTGCAAAAACACTTTGATTGACATTCTCCCATTGTACATGTCATCAGAGGGTGGGAAAGCCCCGCCCATTAGAGACGATCTCTCATTAGAGACAATCTGCCACTATGCTGACACATAGGCTTTTCTTAGCTCCACCCTCTTAAGAAAAAAAGAGCACAATCTCATTTGAATTTAAAGCAACCGTCACCAAAACAGCACAATTAAGATCAAAGCCTAAAAGGGTCCGTTTCAGAGTTATTTTGGGGTTATTTTTTTTTTCACAAACACACTATAGGGACATCAGAGACTTACATATTGTAAATCAAGGCTTAATAAGGCCTCTTTAAAACACAACCAAATTAAAATCTTTCAGTGTATTAGGGGGTTAAACTTTGCAATGACTTCACAAATCATGCGTTCTGTAGCTATTGATTAATTATAAATCCAATTTAGCATTGCCATGTGACTATTGCAGATGTGACTTCAAAGCAGAAACGATATATTGTGCAAGCCTAATCTGGACCCCATATAAAACACTTCACTGCTGCTCATTTGTCTTAATTTCAACCGCATCAGTCCTGTTTCCTATCTGTTTCTCAAGTACTTTCTCACTTCCAGACAACTAAACAGTCCTACAGATAAGGCTTAGCTGCACTAAACACAAGTGTCACTTTTGGCCACATCTAATGCACATTATCAGACCTTAGGTGAAGGTGCTAAAAGACCAATATGTCAAACTGTAGAGTCTGTTAAGATAAAGAGGAGGTCCACTGATGTCAGACTAACAGCCTTGCAACCATTAGGATAGTAATGCTCTGACTATGCAGTATTATGTGCATTAAAGAAAAAAAAATTGAGACTGGTATTAAATAAAGCCTTTAAACAATATTAAGATGAAAATAAACACATCACATGAGCAATTTGGCAATAAAACTCCAAAATTACTCTAAAGTAGATCTCAAAGTAATGAATTACATTCAGACTAACAATTTAGCACCAAGTCTAAAATTATTCAATTAATTTGTTTATTTCTATAGCGCTTTTACAATGTAGATTGTGTCAAAGCAGCTTAACAAAGAATTTCTAGTAAATTGAAAATGTGTCAGTCCAAAAATTACCACACAAAAATATATTCTCGAGTTGTTATTAGAGCTTATGCATTGAGCAGATCTCCTTAATAACAAGTATGGTTTATGATGTGTGTAATACTGACTTGGAAAACGAAAACAACATGTACATAGGGAGCGAACTTCAATAAACCAAACATCTTAAAAATATATAGGCAAGCCTGGATACATTATGCACGCAACAGAAAACCTCAGAGGAAAATATGTGAAAAGCATTCAGATAAATATGAATAGACTGAATATGCAGTCTTCTGGCAGCACCTTTCAAAAGCATGGCACTTTTGAGAGCGGTATTTACATGCAGATGATGTTTGCTTGTAAAGACTAGGAAGTATGATGAATAAAGGGAACTCAACAAAGAGGCCTGCATCGGGCAAATAAGTTAGATGAAAAGCATTCGATGCATGCAATTTAAAGCTCTGAAAGCTCCTAAATGGCCTAAAAATAAAACTTCATCATTACAATACTATTACAGCGTGGGTGGAAAAGTACATTTCTGAGACCATTTTCAGGCTTGTAAGATAAATAACTGAGATGAGCTTCATTAAAATCTGTCTAGAAGAACTGTTTGAATTAAACAAACGCAGATATTACAGGCTTCTCTATTTAAATAGCAATAGCGAAAGTAAAGTTTAATGCCAAAACAGATCTAATGAACTCATGAAAACATACGTCTGCACTAGTTTTGCATGTCCAAAAACAGAAAGAGTGAAACTACAAAGTGAGAGTATATACAGTAAAATTCAATACCTTTATGACCTTTTTCAAGACTTTTTCTAATCATTTTAAGACCACTTTAAGTTTCAACCGGAAACAGTGGCCAGATTTTAACTTACAGTATATTTACTAAATGATTATTTAAGAAACTAATCCAAAAGTTTATTCATATACTGAATAAAAATCTATTAAATCTAGCTAATTCAGCAGGTCTTGCTGTCTTGGTTACTGCAGTAAATAAAGCAGCATGATGCCAAATCTAGCAGGATTTTTATTTAATTCAGGCAAACTTTAGTATTCAACCATACATTGTATAAACAAAAATGCTATCAAATGTAATACCTTGCAAAATAGCATTTAAGATTCAAGGGTCCTAAATTTCTTTACATTGACTTATCAACTTTTAATACTTTTTAGGACTCAGCGGTCACCCTGAAAGTAAAAAAACATCATGATGTGATTGTTTCTATTGATTCATATCGGCTGGAAAATTTTATTTAAAGGGTTCAGCTGCAAAAACCTCTAAATGTTGTCTGAAATTTTCTTCTCAAATTAGCGTTTTTATCAGGCTCCTGTGTGTAAAAAAAAACTTGCATAAAAAGATTGTGGGAAAAATGTTCATGGTTTTTAAATTGGGAAAGTTTTTAATTGTTTTTAATATTAAAGCCATGTGAATAATGCTTTTAATTTTTGCCACAATCTTTTCGAGTACCTTGGATTTACGAGTTTCTTGATGAAACAAAGAATCATGCATCTACAGAGAAGCAATACATAGGGCTCTATTTTAACGACCTAAGCGCATGATCTAAAGTAGAGTTGCAACAATGAATCGATTAAAACTATAAAAATCGATTACACGGAACACTTACTTGCATGTATTTGGGGAGTGAATGGTGAATTTACGTGCTGAATCCTGCGTGTTCTGCTTTTTATGAATGAGGCAAACGCGTGTCCACAAGTAAACATGGCGACGACCATCTCACGTTCTAGATCCCGATCACCTACACGTTTATGTGAACTGGTAAAACTTCTGTTTGAGATTATATCTCATTAAGATTATTTTTCTTACCCTATTCACAAACAATTTAACTTGTTTTAAGCAAACAATCATTTAAGCTTGAGGTGTTATTTTTTCAGAAAACAAGACATCATTTCTTATGCAATTTCATGTGTCTAGTATGTATTTTGATTTTAAAATATTTAGATATTTGGACTGAAAACAGGACAAAACTGCTTAGTTTATTTTATAATTGTTGTTGTTATTATTATTATTATAACAGCTCAGGGATGAGCTTTTTTAAATAAACGGTTGGAAATTAATAATTTTCTTCTTTTTATTTTTTTAATCCGATTAATCGAAAAAATAATCAACAGATTAATCGATTATTAAAATAATTTTTAGTTGCATTCCTAGGGCTCTATTTTGACGGTCCATGCACAAAGCGCAAAACGCAGGGCGCAAATGCTTTCAGGGCGTGTCAGGACGCGTTTTTGCTAATTTAAGGACGGGAAAATCTGCCTTGCGCTTCAGCGCATGGTCTAAAAGGGTTGAGTTTATTTTCTTAATGAGTTATAGGTGTGTTTTAAGAATAAACCAATTAGAGTCTCATCTCCCATTCCCTTTAAGAGTCAGCTGCGTCGCGCCAAGAGCGCATTCGCCATTTACAGGACGCAAAGTAAGTCTAAGTGGAAAAAATGAGCATTTCACAAGCAAACAGTTAACAGTTGACAGTTTTTTTTAAACAGAAAACTGTTAAACAGAGCATCTACTGCGTGAGAATGAGAGATAATGGATCACTTTCACTTTCGCTCTTGGATAGGGAAACCTTTACGCACAGACATCAATTAGTCTATAAATAAATACTTTTGTTTGTTACGGACAAATATTCTTTTCAAAACTATTTCTAAATTCAGTTCTAATTTCCAGCAAACGAATAAATGACTAATAATAGCAAAATGTGCTCAAAAACCTGAGTTATATCCTAAAACACATGCTGTGCCCCATATGGTCTAAAACCTGACAGGTGAGCAAATCTAAGCTTGTTTTTAATAAAACAAATATACATATGGATATAATAAATAATACTGCTAATAATGATAACATTATACAAAAGCAAATTGTTATGAATGAACTTAAAAAGCCTCCCGAGATGAAGAAGACATAAAAGCAGTGGTTTTTCATATTTATGTAGGCTAGAAAATAATATGTTTTGTAATATTTTAATCCTTTATATTTATATTCTATATCTATTCTTATTATATCCTATATATATCCTTAATATTTACATTTTTTCATATGTAAAGATATTTGCCTATTGCTCTCTTGTGTGTATTAAGCAGTGCGTAAGCGCGGCGCAACTCTGCGCCGGAGTTTAGACCGGGTTTGTTTTGGTCTAATGAAAACTCTATTATAGTTTCTCAAAATAGCAACACGCCAACGGTCCGCCTCAGAACACCTTCCTTTTTAGACCAGAACGCCTATGGGCGCACATCTGAGCGCTAATGCATTTGCTATTTAAACAGCATAGCGCAACGCCTCAAAACGACTCTTGCGCCAAGCTTAAACTACCAAAAGACTATTGCGTCACGCCTTGCGCCACACTGTGCCGGGTGTATGATAGGACCCCTAGTCTTAAGCGCAAGACGCAGGTGAACTTAGGGTGTGTTTGAATCCACTTTTGCTATTTCATTATTGATGCTGAAACTATATGTTGTGCATCCCTAATAGGGAAAGAAATTGATGTGCGCACATCTAAAAACAATCTTGAAGGCAGGTGCTCGATCAAGCCAAACAAAATGAAGACAGAGGCAAACAAAATCGGCAGACACTGCCAATGATGTATGATAGGGCCCATACAGTTTGTACCCCTGTAAGCATCTTATGTATTTTTCTGGATGTAAAAACATTGTGTAGTCAAAACCCAGCATAACCTGTTGGAGAATAAAAGCCAATAAACCTCAAAGCAAACACACCTGTATCTCCTCATAGGCCTCGTCAACCGTGGTGACTTGATGCTGTTCGTGTAATGCAGGCTCATCACAGAAGAAGCACACCAGGCTCTTGTCACTTAAGCAGAAGAGCTTGACCTTTTCATGGTCTTTGCACGGATACGAGTTCCTCTGAGCATTGAGGATGGCGTCCAGGGGGAAAGCGGTGTACCTCTCCACGATGTTGGAGAGCTTGAGGCTCGGCGATAGAAGGGGATCCGTGAAGGTCCTCCTGCACTCTGGGCAGTCTCGTGTCCCGTGATGCTCCTGTCTGCTCCAGTGTTCAGTGATGCACTTACGGCAAAAGTAGTGCTCGCAACCGAAACTCACAGGGTCTTGATAAATGCTCAGACAAATAGAACACAAGAGCTCGTCCTTCAGATAGCTAGCCATTTGAATCTATGGAGGAGTCGGTCATGCACTGTGCAGGTGGCGGGATGCACAAACCCTGAGCCTCTTAAGCAGCTGGGCTTCCTAGTGTGCTCTGCGAGGCTTGAAAATGACTCCGATGAAATTTTCTAGAAAACACAAAATTAGATAGAATAGGTAAGACATCTTCACCAACAGACATGCATTTATTATTAGACTCTCCCATGACTACGTTTAAAAGCTTTAGATATGGACTTTACACTAAATTATCATGCATCGATGAGCAAGTGCTGATAGAGTAAATCTTCCACTGATGGAAAGCAGATAAGCTTGATAATGTTGATATTACTTCATTTAAAGAAGACTCAACTCAAAATCTGATTATTTGCTCTTATTATGCAGGACTAAATAGAACCTTATCAAGCCCATTAAAAAAATAATTACATTTTCATTAAGGAACCCAAAACGATATTCCCTTGGCTAATTAAAGACATTCATTTTTAAAAAGGTTATTATATGCAGACTGTCAATCAGTCACCATTAGACATGTACTGATATTGAACACAATAAAATACTGGATAATGAACAAATTGCCATGAATAATTATTTACCATTTCAAACCTTTAGTAGCAGAATTGAAAGAATTCTTATATGTAGATTGAAAAATAATTAATAAATGTAATGGAAGAAAAAAAATGAATAAAGCACAGATAAAACAAGTAAAGATGTAATTATTTTCTGTATTACTTTTATTTTTCAAATATTACCTTAGCTTTTGGATTTTGATAACCTTTTATTATTTTCCCCATAACATTATTTTACTTATTGTTATTTGTGCAGGTTTTCATGACTGATGTTGATATTGCAACATTCATTTAACGAATAAACCAAACCATTAAATAATTACAGAAGTTGGTTTTATATATTCGCACATTCATTAATTTCGCAGTCTCTATATTGTTTACCATGATTTTTTTGAATATTCGATTGAAATTAGCATGCAAGTGTGACTTTTAAACAACATTAACACTAATTCACTGTGAACCATGTTGCACTTTGATAGTCATTTGCTTCTAATATGATTTACCTATTTATAATTGGAACTGAACACTTCTGAAATTATATAACTGAAGATAATATCTGAATATCCGAATATATAACCAGCTTTACCTCTATCTCTTTGATTTGACATTTTATCAATGAAAATAGTCTGTTTTAGCTATAATTTTATATTTTTTCTCTGTTGTGTTGTGTGATGTGGTTGTGTAAAATGGTGCTATATAAATAAATTTGACATTGACAAAAAATAAATAAATGAATAAACCACAGATGAAACAAATATAGATGCAATTCATTACTGTATCACTTTTTATTCAAATATTAACTTTAAGGGTTTTAATAACCTTTCATTACTTTCCCCATAACATTATTTTACTTATTGTTATTTGTGCAGGTTTTCAAGACTTCCATGATATTATCACATCCATTTAACGAACAAACTAAACAATTAAATACATAAACTAATTATGAAACAGGTTAGTTTATTCAGTTTGCCACACCACATCCCTTCAACATTAACAAGACCTGCACAGAATTTAAGATCTGAAACGAATAAAATACATGCAAAACCATTTATCTTTAAAGCAGGTTATTGAGGTTGCCATCACTGACTTGCACTAAACTTAATTGGATCTCTCCAAGTCAATTTAAATCAGTGGTGTAAAGAAATCTTTGTTTTTGAAACAAATGAAGACAGCAGAAGTCAATGATTCATTTTCATTATTCAGTCGGACATGTTTTTGCTCCAAAATATTTTAAATGTTTAACAAATTAAAATATATTGTGTTTAATGGGGGAAAAGTTTTATTTTTTTTCCCAGACATTTAAAAAGAATATATTTTAGAGCAGTAATCGCACAACTGTCAAACCGTGATACTTTTATCCAAGGTTATCATACCGTCAGAATCTTACTGTATACCAGCTCATGCCTACTGGACAATGAACAAATTGCCATGAATAATTGTTTATCATTTAAACCTGTAAAATCAGAATTAAAGATTTTTTTGTATGTAGATTGAAAAAAAAAAATGGAATAAAAGAAAAATAAATGAATAAAGCACAGATTCAACATGAACAGATGTTTGCATCACTTTTTTTCTTCTACAAATATTACCTTAAGTTCTGGATTTTAATAACCTTTTATTATTTTCTGCATAACATTATTCTGCTTATTGTTATTTGTGCAGGTTTTCAAGACTTCCATGAAAATATCACATCCATTTAACCAATAAACCGAATAGTTAAATAATTAAACTAATTATAAAACAGGTTAGTTTATACAACTTGCCACTCCACATCCCTTTAATATTCAACACGACCTGCACAGAATTTAAGATCTGAAACGAATGAAATAGATGTAAAACTATGAATCTCTAAACCAGGTTATTGAGGTTGCCACCATAGACTTGCACTAAACTTAATTGGATCTCACCAAGTCCATTTAAATCAGCCGTGTACACACCAGAAAAGCTTCCGTACACCATGGTAATTCAACAAAAGTTACTAACATCTCTTGTCTGTTTCAGATTACACCTTTTCAGCCATTCCTCCTCCCTTTTCCCCGTTATCTTCATCGTGTTGTTTATCAAAGCCGGTTGCTAAATAATTAGCCAGCTAGCAGGATGTGTAAACAGATTTTCCATCTATTCGATCTTGTGCAAAAAAACTGACATTATGACTTCATTCGCTTACCCAAAACGGTCCTGGCGCGTTGTACACTGGAAGCAGCCGACTGTCACATAATTAGGAGAGCGGGTCGTGGTTTTAATTCAACATTTTCATCACGTCAGACCCTTCAAAAGCTGAAGCGACCGACCGACCGCACGCGCAGCTCTTCACAATCCCACTGCTCCACACTCGATCCAGAGGCGCACAGCAACGGAGCGAACCAACTGCACACGGGGAGGGACATTCACACACAGGGGGTAGACTGATACAACTCTGTCATTATAATTATATGTAGAATAAATTTAATTAATTAAAGATTTAATTTTCCCTATGTGTTGATTATCTGGGCTGATTTCTTGACATATTTAAGAAGATATTTTTTCACGGATGAAGGGTAAATCCCTCCCGTTGCTGTGATGGTTCAGCTCAAGCTTCCTCATCACAGGCAGAAATGAGCATATGATAATATCAGTGATTGCTCGCACTCTGCTGGCGTGTTTGTAGGTCGAATGTAAAGACAAAATTGGTTTTATACGAGTTCAGCATACTGGTAAGTTCTTTTTAAATTAAGGACCAGTTTTAAACCACAAAGTCAAACCATACTTCATTATAATTTAAGCTATTTTTTTGCTTGTCCTACATCCCATAAGAATATATAACATTCTAATATATTTCTGCGCACCTTTATCTATTATTAATGTTTTATTATTCTAATTTGCTTGTATTATAAGCCTTTTATTATTATATTTTTGTTATTTTGTATCATAAAAACTGTTATAATAATAATAATATCTGTTTTGTGTAGTAGTAGTAATAATAATAATAATAATAATAATAATAATAATAATAATAATAATAATAACAACAACATTATTATTGTGGACGAATGCATTTATATTATGATATATAACATTTACATTTTACATTCACGCATTTTGCAGATGCCTTTATCCAAAGCTACATACATTGCATTGAAGGTACACATTTTATCAGCTCTCACTTTTGCTGCACAAGGATCAAACCCACAACTATTTTTTTCTTTACCTGATTAGAACAATTTTTAAAACTTAGCACTTTTCTCAAGCCATTTTGACCAAAAATACATATTTTATAAATGATTTTCATATTGCAATATATAAAAACGAATCCAGGTTTGGGGCAAAAAAAATAAACAGTTTTGAAAATAAATAATAATTCATTCATTTTCTTTTCGGCTTAGGTCCCTTTATTAATCTGGGGTTGCCAAAATAAATAAATGGAAAGAAATTAAAAGTTGAATAAAAATAAAAAAAAATAAAAATTAATATTGCAATTAATTGCAATAACAATGAAAGCAACAGCAATAATAATAAATTATTAATAAATTAATAATTGATTTATTAATTTATAAATTGTTAATTATTAATTCTAAACTATTTTACATTTATTTATGTATTTAATATTATTTTATATTACATCATATAATAAATATTAAAATACAGTTTTATTTTGAAAGCGGTTTGTTGGCGCAGTCACTGTCGCCTCACAGCAAGAAGATTGCTGGTTTAAGTCCCGGCTGGGTCAGTTGGCATTTCTGTGAGGAGTTTGCATATTCTCCCCATGATTGAGTGGGTTGTCTCTGGGTGCTCCAGTTTCCAAACACATGCATTATAGGTGAATGGGTAAGCTAAATTGTCCATGTATGTGTGTGAATGAGTGTATGGGTGTTTCCCAGTAATGGGTTGCAGATGGAAGGTCATCCGCTGTGTAAAAACATATGCTGGATAAGTTGGCAGTTCATTCCGCTGTGGGGACCCTTGCTGAAAAAAGGAACCGTAAAAGTTTTATTTTTGCACTAAATTTATGCAAATATTTTTTACAATATTAATAATTTTAAAACAGTGAACAGTATTTTCATTTATATAAACATTTTTTCTGTAATAAACTTAATTTTCTTATGAACAAAATGTATGTGGGTGTATGTGTGTTCATAATTTGGATATCTCAGCGGGGATACACCTGATTAGTTTTGCTACATTTTATGAGTTCACTAGTTAATACTAGAGTTTGCTGTAGCATTCATTAACAAAGTGTTGTAAATACTATAAAACATACAGTATAACACACTTGTCTGATCAATGTTTAATACTTTAGGGAACACAAAAAGGAGAAGATATAGCCAGATTCTGCTGTTTCTCATTTGCTCTGAAAGAGAGTTGTGAAATATAGTATATCCTTCACTGAACTGGCATTTAGGCCTACCTGAAACAGGAAGAACATGTTTCCTTGTTTATGTACTGTATAATATTGCAGATCATAAGTTAACCCTGTGGTTGACAAAACATAGATTAGGCACTTGAGTAAAGGACAGACACAAGGTGTCCCAGTACTGGGTTACAGCTGGAAGAGCATCTGCTATGTAAAACATATGCTGGAATAGTTGGTGGTTCATTCCACTGTCGCAACCCTATGATAAATAAAAGACTAAGCCGAAGGAAAATGAACGAATGATTCAATTATTCATTCTTTTTTTCGGCTTAGTCCCTTTATTAATCTGGGGTCGCCACATGCAGCAGAATGAACCGCCAACTTATCCAGCATATGTTTTACACAGCAGATGACCTTCCAGTTGCAACCCATCTCTGGGAAACATCCATACGCACTCATTCACACTTATACACTACAGACAATATAGCTTATTTAATTCACCTGTACTGCATGTGTTTGGACTGTGGGGAAAACCGGAGCACCCGGAGGAAACCCACATGAACGCAGAGAGAACATGCAAACTCCACACAGAAATGCCAACTTACCCAGCCGAGACTCGAACCGGCGACCTTCTTGCTGTGAGGCCACAGCACTACCTACTGCACCACTGCATCGCAAAAATAAATAAATAATTTTATATTTGAAATGTATTTAATAAGGAGTTAATTAGTAGTTTATTGAGATTGTATCTTGGTTAATGGTTTATTAATAGTATGAAATAAAAAATAAAAAATATTTTATTATGTATATTTAACTTAGTTATTTAATTAATTTGAGTTTAATTACAAAAGCCTTGCGTAAAGAAAAAAAATAGTTCAACTTTGAAATATTTCAAAGTTTAAAATTAAATTTAAAATCCATCTTTGAATATTCTGAGTATTTATTTAAATAAATTTAAATATTTCATGATAAAATATAATATAAATATATATATATATATATATATATATATATATATATATATATATATATATATATATATATATATATATATATATATATATATATATATATATATATATATATATATATATATATATATATATACACCATGTATAATGGTTACCATTTCTTTATTTCAATTTTTTTGTATTACTATTTTATTTGCAAAGTCTTATGAAGGATTTTGCTGTTTCAATTTTGTCTCTGTGTACTGTAGTTTTATATTATATATATTTAACTATTAGATTTTTTTATTTATTTGAGTCTAATTACAAAAGTATTGTGAAACGATAAAATCCATCATGAAATATAAAAAACAATTATTCAGAAAAGGAGGAAGATTTTATTTGTCATAAGTGTAACTTTTATTATTTTATTTTACATTATTTAACTTGTATTTGACATAATTTGAGTATACAAATACAATGCCAAGATTTGAAACAATGATTTGAAACAACACCCCCATCCACCAAATTGGTTCTACCACTGTCTCTCCACTCCACCAAATAGCATCCTGTGATTTGTTGTTACTTTTTGTTTCAGAGAAATGACAAGTGAATCATGAATGTCTGTTGCTCATTGTTGCTAATGCACACCGTTTATTTTCTAAATGCACACAGTCAAAGAAAGTCCAGGTATTTAGCACTGACTCATTACAGTAAAGCTCCTCCATTTTAATTAATCCCTGTCAGTGTGTGAAAAGCACGAGTGCTGTTATTATGAATAAGCAAACAGCACAAATAACGTTCAGTTCATGGGAAATGCTTGTTTTTCTTCTCTGACAGGAAATCCTGAAGTGAAGCTGAGGAAGGGAATCAAACCAACACCTTGCAGTTACTCCGGCGCGATGCATTGCAGGCTACAGCATGAATGAAGTCTGATCGTATCGTTTGCACGCTTTCATTATGAACAGCGTGTTTGTGCTGCAAACAATGAATGCAAACCGCAGCATCTCCGATTTTTACACACTGAAACCACCGAGATAAACGAGGCCCAGAACTGATGAACGCATCAGGAAACGGATGAATCAGCAGTTTGTGTTGTTCCTGTAAAGTGTGGACAGGTGCTGGAAGACATCCTTCTTTCTTTTAATTACTTCAGTTGAATGTTTTGCTGTGAGTCAAACTGCGAGCCTTTAGCAGAAGCTGCAGGTCAAAGTTCAGCCTCTGAAGCGAGCGGGAAATGTGGGTGCAAAACGCTGCAGATTGATGCACGGTCACTTTGTGGAAAGTCATTTCATAATAAGGATTAATCGAGTCTGGCTCAGAGAGGTTTCAGGTTGTTTTGAGGTTTAGTTATGAGTTGAAAAGTTATAACCAGAAACATCTCCTTCCCGTTGTAGTTAGGCTACTGTTTATACAGTGTACACGTTTTTTGTGAATACTGACATCAACATGGACTGATTTAGCTATAATAAGCAAAGTAAGCAACCACTAAAGGGCCCCAGGAAATTTGCGGGCCCCTTAGGGGTGGTTCTAGTTTAAATGGCACCCTGGACGAACCACCCCAAATATACCCACTCCCCTATCCCCAAAGAAATAAAGTCGCTATTTTAACCCAAAAGGAAGCAGGGGCCCGTTTTCGCCCGTATTCGTCATGCATCGAGCACTCATTGGTAAAATTCTTACTGCAGTATTTCTCACAAACGCTATGGGAGATCTGCTTCCTTTAAGTCTGTTTGTTGTCTGACGCAGCCGTGGGAGGAGATTAAGGCCAGGGCCGGCGCGTCCATAGAGGCGAACTAGGCGGCCGCCTAGGGCGGCAGTATAAAGAGGGCGGCATCCGCGACACCTCCCTTACCACCCGTGTCCTCAGTTGTGTCTGCGACACCTCCCTCACCAGCCGCGTCCTCATATATTCGCGCATAGACGACAGAATAGAAAGGGCGGCGTCAGCGACAACTCCATCAGCATCCGGTTTTCCAGCATAGTGCGCTGGAAAAGAGGTCCGCGACACCTCACTTCATTTTCATAACCGGTCACTTTCGTTTTCACATTGGGGTTGAGGGCGGCATGATC